TACATACATACATATATACATACATGTATATGTACGTATTGTGTTTCTTAGCCATATAATTCAATTCTATACTAAAATAAAGTAACTGTCACATTCGGTAGTTATGAAAATGCTGTTTATTTGTATAAATCAAAAATAAATTTGACTTAGCCATCTCTAAAAGCCTTGAAATTGGTCTCTGTCCCTTTAAGAACCTCCTACCACTTCTGTCACTTCCATTTCTGCACATCATCACAACAGCTTCATGCTGTTTACAGCTAGTCTTAGGAGCGTTGCATTTTCTTGTAATAATAATTACATAAACGGCAACATTACACAATGTAGGAAAATAGCAACTCAGGATACAATTGATCCTTACCACCGTYTCCAGAAAGTATGMTTTCTGAAGAACCAGAGTGAGTAGAGAGACATTTCATCTTTGAATGCCAACCATACCGAACAGAACAATGTGAGTTGTTTTTAACTCACACAAATATATATATTTTTTCGTCAGAGGGTTACACCCAAAATTGAAGTCCAACCATTTTTGAAGAACTGTGTCATCCTTGGTGTCTGAAAATATATTTACTCAACGGCCTTTTTTAATGGGAAAAGGACTGGACTGAGAAGTATTACGAGCTCAGCAGACACGGTTTCACCAGTTGTTTGCCACTTGTTGCAGCTGACAGCCTGCAGGAGTTGCGGGGTGGGGGCGGAGGGAGGTGTGCTCTGTCCCAGAGGAGGAGCTGCTCCTAAAAGGCGGCTCTAGGCCCAACTGGCCATTTTTGTTCTCCTGAACAACTACAACAAGACATTGAAGGATTTCTCAAACATGCATGAATGAGTCAAAGCAAAACTCTGGGCATGATTTTGATGAGAGGATAACATTATAACATGATATAAAGCTTAAAAATGTTGATTTTACATGATTTTGGCCCTTTAAAATGTCCAAAGTTTAGAAAAAACACTATGGTTGGGATTGTAATATCCAGCCTTAAATCTGAAAAGGGTGTTTAATTTGCTTTACTGAAAAATAAATAATAAAACATGCTAATATTCAGGAGAAAAAAGGGATAAAGTGTTTGCCGCTGATTAAAAAAGAATAATAAAGGAGCAGAGGAAAACCTCTCAGGAGATGATTTSATGCTCTAATCAAGCCTCAACATTTACTCAGATTTTAAAATCAGTACGAAGATCAAAATGTTTATTTATTTTGAAACAAACACATTTTAAATGCAGTTCATTGCGAATGTTGTTAGATTTATTGTTTTTTGTTTTTAACATGAGCTCCATTTTTGGACCAAAGCAAGAAAAAGTCTTTTTTTTTCTGTACAGCTCTGCAGACATGTCCTCTGTTTTCCTAAAAACATTACCTTCCTGAACGAAAGCAATTTTAGTTTCTAATCAGCTCATGTTGGTCAGTAATAGTCAGATATRACTAAGAATGTGGTTCATGTCATGAAATGGATCCATCTGCATTAAGAGCACTACGTGTCTTTGTGAAGACCTGTTTGTGTGTGTTGTCAGGAAGTGAGTAGAGATCATTTAGGATTTTTTTTTGCTTGTTTCAACAGATCATTAAACATTTAGTGTATCTTTATGAATAATGACTGATGTCTTAGTAGGTGGTCAAACTAGTCAACAGATTAAATATATATATTTGCATCTTCAGCTGTGTGAAACGTCTTGTAATGTCACTGATAAATGTTTGAACTTGTTTACATTCATGCT